CTTTGTATGTAGTCGAAATCAGCTTATGTTGTGATATTGTCTCTTGTTGCGCGCGTGCATGATACTACAAGGTCAAGGTCATATGCAAGGCTTACTTATAATTAGAATTAGAATTTTTAAACTCGCATAACTTGATATGCGTTGTATGCGTTCTTGCTGCGTTTAGACTACATACAACGAACCAAGTTTTTAAAATTATAAGCCTAATTATTAGTAAACCTTGTGTGACCTTGAGCTTGTAGTATCATGCACGCGCGCAACAGGAACATTCTCACAGCATACACTGATTTCAGACTACATGAAATGCCGAAAGCTTCGAATTTTGAAATTACAAACACCATACTAGTAGCAGTTGTATATGACCTTGATCTAGTATCATGCATATGCGCAACAAAATAAAATCTCACAACATACGTCAATTTGGGTTTACAAACAAATCAGAATGTTACTGAGTCAGAAATTATAATCTTAAAAATATTTGTAAAACTTGTATTTGACCTTGACCATGTAGTATCATGCACGCGTGCAACGAGGAAAATATCACAACACACGCTGATTCAGACTACATAGTTAAAAATGTAATAATATAATTAATAGTGAAACTTGTATAGGCCTAAATGACCTTTACCTTGTAGTATCATGCACGCGCGCAGCAAAAGAAAATCTCACAGCACATACGTTGATTTGTTAGAACGTACAACGCCGTAAGCCACCGGGTTTTAAAGTTCTAATTCTAATTCATATTGAAAAGTTATATATATAGGAAATAAGACAAAAGATCCACACAGACGATCCTCATTGGCATGCTGTTCAATGAAGCATAATATGACCTGATCGCTCTACTATGGTTATTGGTAGACTGGTAATTTTGTTCTTTGTAGACTGGTTCTTTTAGTAGGTTTTTGTTGCTTGGTTTATCTGAATTTGTTATTTCTGAACGCACCGTCATTTGACGCGTGCCACTGATGTAAAAGTGTATGTTTTAATAAATTATTATTATTATTATTATTATTATTATTATTATTATTATTATTATTATTATTATTATTATTATTATTATTATTATTGCTGAAGCGAGCGACTGCGTACAGCACTCCTGAACACGTTTGGCATAGAGAATGCTATGACGTCATTTGACCGGATCTTATTTTTGTGGATTTTAGTAAAACTTACTCTGATTTGATAATAAGAATTGCAGCGAGACTATTTGACCAATAAGAATTAAGCTTACATCAATACAGTCGTCCTTTATTCACCTACTCGAATCAATGCCTCGATATCGTACGGTGTTTCATTTGGATGGTAGAGCCAATTTACTGCCGGTCGCTCTTATAAAATGGACATGTAAAAATTGTATATGACCTTGACCATGTAGTATCATGCGACGCGCGCAAGAAAACTTCACATTTGTTGATTTGGGATTACTTACAACTCAGTAAGCCACCGATTTGAAAATTATAGGTCTAAAGCAAGTTATTATATGACCTTGACCTTCTAGTATTAGTCATCTATAATATGCAACATTTAATACACAATATTTTTTTTTTATCCATTAAAATTTATAACATAATTAATGAAACAAGTTATTACAAAGTGCGACAGACTTGATTACAAAGTGTGACAACTTTGTTACAAAGTGCGACAGTACACACGCCACTCCATAAATTTAAGTAAAAGTACCTTTCCTTTTTCGCCAACAAGTGATTCTGAATTCCCCACGTAGCCCCAAGGAATTATACCAATGCAGTAAATCCGGTCCCTTTCTTGTCCTTTGTTGGATGTCCCACTCATCACTTGACTTACACGAACTGCTTCACCAACTGCTTTGTGAACTCCGCAATAGTAACCTTTCGTGATGATCCAGGCACCCACGGTCTTTGCAGCCTGATAAAATACATACTTAGAATAAAGAATTTCTCCATTGGAAAATCATTTTGATAGTGAGCCAGCTCACATTTTGCCAGCTCTTCTTTTCCTGTTAATAATTTTATTCATGGTGTATATGATATGGTATAGTGTGGGTAAAATCATTTGGTAAAGCATATTTTCCAGTGGATACAAAGGACTAGGAAAATGTAAAAAGGTCATTTTAATGAAAAATGTTAGGTTTTCATATTCTTTTTGAAATTGTGAACAGATAAAAAGTTCTTTAATGCTTGTGGGAGAGGGTTCCAATACTTTGGAGCAGTTGCAGAGAATTAGTTGAAGGCCATATCACATTTCTTTGTTCTCTGATACCCAAGTATCTATCTCTACTCAGGAGTTAAATGGTCACCTGGTATGTACTAAGTCAATTTTTAAAATGTGGTTAGTTTTGAATGAATTAGATGTACGATTGAGGATACTCTCGAAAGAGGGAATGGAGGAGTTTCACATTGTGTCGAGGCGATTATGGTGTGTATCTACCTTGATCCAATAAGCAGGATAAAAAATTTCCTTGACACATCTTTCATTTCTGAAATGTATACTTACACTATATATAAATGAAAACAAAATAATAACAATTATCATTATTTTTATTGTAGACAATAGTTACATTTGCTAATCCTCTGTTGAATGTGTCTTGATTGTGCTCGCTGAGTGTGAAGTTTTTTGTGCCACAAGATATTAGATGTGTATAAGAGACAGTATATATACTGTATATATATACATATATATATACATATATATCATATATATCATATATATTATTATTATTATTATTATTATTATTATTATGCACTTCTTTCATACAAATCTATATATTATAACTTAACTGATTTTATATCAATTCAATTCAATTTTTCAATTCAATAACATTTATTTCCATTTCCATTACAAAATAATACAAAAAACATGGTGGAATCACCTAAAAAACATGCTTGTAGCAGGGATGCCATAAACAATACAAACATTCGACAAAATCTAAGACAATTCAAATCTTAACAATATATACGAAAGCACAATTCCATATTAATAATAATAATAATAATAATAATAATATTAATAATAATAATAATAATAAATAAATAATAATAACTGCTAATAAGATGCATTAATAGTTAACAAAACTTACATTTGAATAAGGGTTACTTATTTATAATATATCAGATTTAAGATTCTTTTTGAAGCAATTAATGTCTATAATATTCTTTATCACTGGAGGCAAGTTATTCCAGAGTTCAGCACCAAAATATCTAATGCAGTGAGGTCCTATGTTTGGAGAGGTCAGTTGATGAAGAAGATCTCATGTTATAGAACTCAAGCATATTATAAAAGCGTTATGGGTAATTTTTATCTCTGCAGTTATGGACAAATACATAGGCCTATTAATATTTGTTAGCGTCATTAGATTCAATTTCTTAAAGGGAGGACCAATATGGGCTGTAAAAGAAGAATTTGAGATAATACGTATCGCCTTTTTTAGAGCAGAGTTAACTATTTGAGGTTTGACTGAAAAGTATTACCCAGACTACATAACAATATGAGAAATATGGAAGAACAAGTAAAAATATAAAGTAAGAAGTACATTAACAGGAACAAAATGCTTGATTCCTTTTATAACCCCTAGAGTCTTGGATATTTTTGTCACAATTTCATCAATGTGATAACATCTATGTACACCCCAAGAAATTTACCTTTTTCTACTCGTTGAACTTGATCATTGTTAAGAAAGATTTTAAAATTATTTAGTTCAGTTACTTTTTTCTAAATATAGTGTAGCTGCATTTATTTGAATTCAGTGATAATCGGTTGGCCTTGAACCACTCGTATACATTACGTAGCTATTCGTTGACAGTATGACAAAAGGCGGAGAGATCATTATTGCAATGAAAAATGTTTGTATCATCATCATATAAAATAAAAATTAAATATTCTGAAGACAATTATTATAAGTACCGTGCTCATGAGCCAAGAGGGGATGCAAATGCTTTGTGAAAATGAGTACGCCGCGGTACTCATTTTCAAAAAGGAATACACGCAGCTGGTTAGCTAACAATATTCAAATGTTACATGAACACCTAGGAAGGAAGGTGCAATATCACGTTCTGTTACCTAGCATAAGCCTACGTCTATACTGTAGCGTGGGGGTGGGGGTGATGGGGAACGGTAAGCATAAGTTGTTAGCCAACAGTATACAAATGTTACATGAAAACCTGGGAAGGATGGCACATCACGTGCTGTTGCCTAGCCTGATGTACTGTGTAGAAAAAAAAAATGAAATCAAAAAATAAAAATGTTCTATTTTAACAAAAATATTAATAACTACAAGGTTTATGGGCGTAAATTCCATAATACGAATTAAGGGTAGCACCATCTCCTTGCCATACAAATTACATCTCCCACTATAGGTTGGCCGAAAAGGCCATAATGAGAGCGGGGTTAGTTTTATTTTAACGCCGTTACGTTGTTCACTTTCAACCAATCACAAGCTTGAAACAGCGCCGAAAGGGCCATAAAGCTTGTGTGATTGGTTGAAATTAAACAACTTAACGACGTTAAAATAAAACTAACCCCGCTCTCATTATGGCCTTTTTGGCCAACCTATAATTATAATGAACAACGTAACGGCGTTGACAAAAAAGTAACGCAGCTTTTATTATGGCCCTTCCGGCGCTGTTTTACTTGTGAATTGTTGAAATTGAACAACGTAACAGAGTTAAAACAAGTTAAAATAAAACTAACGCCGTTTTCATTGTGACCCTTTCGGCCAATCTTATCATTACGGCGTTTTTTAATAAAAGTTAACGGCGCTTTTAATATGGCCCTTTCGGTGCTGTTTAAAGCTTGTGATTGGTTGGAACTGAACAACGTAACGGCGTTAAAAAAACAACGTAACGGCGTTAAAAAAAACAACGGCGGCGTTTTCATTATGCCCTGATGGCTAACCATAGGCGACGACTCACTGGAGCAATCATCACGTTGTGGAGGTACTGTACCTTTCCTTGAAACCAGGCTTTATTCCCACTATCCATTGGAGCCTTAATTACCAAACCAAATTGATAAGTATTTGAAAATTTAATTTTGGAACGCTTCTAAGTGATTTACCAAAATATAATTCGCATTCCAACCAACATTTGCAACATCTATGATGTGACTTACATCAACAACAAGGCAGAGTCATATTCAATGCACTGTCGTCTGGCGATCTCTATGTAAGCAAACCTGAATACCCACTGTAAGTCACGTGACCCGAGCCGCCGATTCGGTCTATTGAATGCATTCGCAATATCACTGGGTTCGTTCAACGGTTGACCTTCACATGTAAAACTTGTACTCGTGTTACTTTTAAGTTTTCTGTTTTACAGAGAAATTAATACATTCCACCTTTTTTTATACTAGATTTAGTATTTGAAAATTTCTGATTATAGTGAGCTACCTTAGCGGCTTTTATTAGTATTTAATTTATATCGAAATGTATATTTAAATTCATTTGTGCTAAGGGTTTTTCTAAAAACTTCTTATACAATTTATGCTTATACTTAATAGACTGCAGGATTCCATTTGTCATCCATGGCTTTAATTTTCCGTCCTTACTTTCAACAGTGCGTAATGGAAAGTTCTTCTGGTATAGTGTAGTGAATTTGATTGGAAGAGCCATATAAGCATTATCAGGATTAATAGAGAAGATTACATCACTCCCGGTCAACAGATGCTAAAATCATGTTTGAAGTTTTCAATGTTTTGTGGATTAATCTGACGATATGAATGCAAAGAATCATCTCTTTGGTGAGACTTAATTAACAATGAAGTAGGCCTACAGTTATTTGAAATATGGCAAATGATCGCTAATATTAGAATAAAATATACCAATTGTAACGGGTAGACTAAAAAGATCATAAAAATTTGTGACAATTGTCAATCGTTGTTGCCGATTTGTTGGTTATACGAGTTGGTTTATTTATTAAAGGTAAATTAAAATTGGTGATTAAAGAATTTTGATTTGTGTTGACCTGGTATTGTTGCTTCGAAGCAGTGGCGGTTCTAGGATATATTTTCTGGGGAGCTGAGCTGTCCGACAGGGGAACTTAAGCCTGTAGGCCTGAGCTGGGGGAAGGGTTCGAGTGGGGGTTCCCCCTCCCAAATCAGATTTTTTTTAAAAGAATATGAACCTCTGGATGGCCAAAAATGACACTCTCAGACCAGGGAACAGTTAAATTACATTACATTATTCCCTGCTCAGACTGTGACAGACATGTGCTGGCTTAGCGTGGGCCTATTTTTATATCTTTTTTACTCTGATTGCATGACGAGCTCTGTCCAGTGGTGTGGGGGGGGGGGGCTTGATTTGTTTGGTGTGACCCCTGCTCTCCTCCCCCCTCCGCTGGCGCCGTCACTGCTTCGAAGGTCAATGTTGAAATCTTTGCCTAGATTCGCAATATCAAAATCATCCACAAAATGTTTAGTGCTTACATCTGGTGAACAACTCCAGCTAAGATATTCTTTCCTTGATTTTGAATAATTTCAATAAATATTGAGTCACAAGAAGAATTTGTCAGGGAAAGGTCGCTTCTTTGAGTAAAAGAGACGCCACCTCCTGACCTGCCATATCTATTTTTACATAAAAGTGTATAATTGAGTATGTTTAGTAGCCTAAAGGACTATTTTCATAATCGAATCAAAATTTTTTATCAGTGTTAAAATGGATTCTAGAGGAGCTTGATTAAATATTAACAAATGATTTGCCAGTTCCTCACAGATTAAGTCAGATGAAATTTGTACAGATTCTTATTATTATTATTATTAATTTGTAGTTGTTTCTTCAAAATCTAAAACACTAAGGTGATTAAAGGTAAAATATGATGTGAACATGACTTGCAGACTGAAGATATGTTGTTCCAATACGGTGCCTAGGTTACATGAGTGACACACATTACATTTGTAAAAACCAGTCATCTTTTCTGGAGGTATGCAGTGAAATACTAGTAAACAAGCCATGCTATTTTATGTTTAAATCAACATACCTATTCAATGAAATTTTAAAGTTAAGAATTAAGGGAAATTGGAATAATAAACTGCGTTCAAAAAATTGCGATTTATTCATGGAAAATTGATTGCATAATAAATCAACTTTGTATACCATCTGGTGCCTAAAATACAGAAGGCATGAGAAAGTACATCATGTTGACTGGTATGCAAATTATCTACAGCATTTTTCAAACAGTGAGTTGTGAATACAATATAATATATGCATAGCAGTATGACAAAGAGCAGATCAAAATATTTAAGACCTTTACTAGATTTTACCATTGTCATTGTATACGTACATCTGCCATTTTAGAAGATGATTCTGATCCCGTTAAAAAATTAATCTCTCCAAAAGTATCATTCGGACACTCTTTCACATCCTTATTTTTATCCCAGACGTTGTCTCTCTCATTTTTCACTGTTTCTATCATCCTACTCGAGCTCGGTGTTTCGGCGTCGCTTATTTGAGGTTGTAGGGCTTCTTCTAGGCCTATATGCTGCTCTCTTATACACATCT